TGATGGCAGAAGATAAGGTGTTTAATACTCTCAGGGAGGAGTTCCAAGTCATCAAGTTCATCCTCGGAAGGTCTGGGGAGCAAGGATGGCAGCTGGAAGGAAGTCATGAGACAAACGAATTCCCTTGGTCTTCCCCAATCTCCCTTGGAGATGCAGGTGGGGAAGGGGAAATCTCCTGGCTGGATTGCCTACACGGCCTAGGAGGAGAGATAGAAGGAGAGGATGGACTAAAACCCCTGGGAGGAGAAGCTGATTGGTGCGAGCCTTGTCTAATTGGCGACCTGGATCTGGCAGGAGAGGAAGGCCTCGCTGCCTGGGCCTGCTTCTCCGCCCTTGCTACTCTCTTTTCGAGGGCACGTTGGCACCTGAGTTCATCCCGGACTGTTGTTCTGGAAGGGCGCTGGGCGGCAGAAGGTTTAGAGGCAGCCGCCCTAGTCCTGGGTCTATTCAAATCCCCTGTTCAGGTGTGTTCCAGGGACTCCCCTGGGGCTTGGGCTCTGTCATGCCTGGGATCACCCATGTCACTCACGTGGCCTTGTTGAAGAGAAGGCTGTGGCCGACTAAGATGCCTGGAGGAATCGCGGCCTTGCGGGAGCTGCAGGGGCTGCAAGATGACCGATGCTGCCTGCTGGCCTCAATTTATGGCTGCGATGTAGGCCCGAGCCTCAAAATGGCTGCCTCCACGTGCTGCCTTAAAATGGCCACCGGAGGCTCAAGCGGCTCGCTGAAGCTTTGTTTCGGCTTGGGTAGCTATCCCCAGAGCTCTTTGCAACAGCGCGGCTCCTTTCATGCCATGGCTCAGCTGAGAAGCCATGGCTCGCCTTTGAGGTCACGGCACCGAGGGAAGCTCGCACGCTGATTTTCAAGCCACTAGAGCTGCCATGGCTTTTTTCCTTCAGATGCGGCTTGCCGAATGGAAGGGCGGCCACGCCATGCTGGATCTCTCTTTTCGCAGCCCTCCCGTGGAGCTGCAAGGACAGAGCCTGTCACCCCCGCTGGCCTGGGAACCAGACAGAGCTCCCAAGCCCTGGGCAGGATAGAGAAGTCCAGACAGATCCTCCCCAGCATGCAGGCAAGCCGGAAACCCGGTCTCGTAGGGCAGCAGCTCAATTGTAATTTAGTTGAATTTTAGGTAATTCTATTAGCCAAATTAATCCAGAATTGAGAAATCTTAAACAAATATTTCCTTAAGAGAACCAAACCCAGTGTTTGGACCAAAGACTGTGGGGAAACTGGGAACCAACAAGGAATGACGAAGCATAAAAGAAATTTCCCTCAGTCTCTGACCAATCAGGCTTTGGCGATATCCCAGCAGTAACCCCTCCCTCAATTCTACTAGTAAACTTCACTGCATCACTGAAAGCAAAAGGATTTTTTTGTGCTAAATCTTATCAGTGGGTATTTGGGGGTTAAAAAAAACTATAGTGCTGCAGATGATTTTTTTTTGTTTTGATTTTATTTTAGTTTAAACAAATTTCCTATATTTTAAAAGCCCAAAGCATCAATCAGCTTTAAAAACATTGACATTTTATACTCTTTGCATAATTAGTTTAGTTTTTGCTTTGGGCAACATTTTAATGATTCTTTCAACTGTTTAAAGCAATGTAATTATAGTTTGCATAAATATATAAAATGCCTCCCACCTTAAGTTTAAACTCGCTACCCTGAAAATATGAATTTGTGAAAAGAAATACTTAATGAGAGGGGGGGAAATGTTAGTCAGAGTGCCAAGCGCCTGTCCTCTCAGGTGCTGCCTTTTGTGTCAACTAAGAGTACAAAGAACTCTCTATTACATGAAATAGAGTAGCTTCTTCATAAAATGAAATTGACATTTATTAGCCTTGCCACTCACTTGATGACTCTGCATTTCTCGTTGGCAGCTGCGCAAGGATAATAGAAATAGAAAGAGTTCATTACTGTAGTAATGAAATTTCAACTACTGTTTAGATAAGGTTGCATATGGTACTTACATTACTTTCATAATTTGTCACCAAATCTTACCAAAGGCTTACTTCTGTAGTGATACTGTGCATTGCTGAATTTTATATCTATAAATTCATATATACTAAACATAATATTTAATAGCAAATTGGAAATAAGTTAGGTTACAAGAATTCTACAAGCACCTCACTTTTGATTATAACGTTCTCATTTGTTCATTCTTTTGGCAAGCAACTGCACATTTAAAAAACAAAACCCAAGCTAAAACTGTCTTTATTAAGTAGGCCAGATGAGCAGCATTCTTAAGCATTTAGCCTAAACCCACCCCCATCCAAGTGCACAGCCACTACTTCTTTCAAAGATTATTTTAGTGCCTCAGTACTTCTCAATTAACTGTAGTGTACATGAATGGAAAGATATAGATATGCTTATTTTTATGACATGAAAGTGGGTTTTTTTTTCCATTGGTGCATAGCATAGTTTGAAACAGATTTAGCTTTTGAATTCAACTTTCCTTGTATGTCAATTAATAACACAGAAACTGTATAGCAAAACAAGCCTGGAAACTTAAATTTATAAATATGCTTTTTGAATTTTCCAAGAGGAAAATAATAAAATTCTATAAATATCTCCAAAGCCATTGCCAAACTATTTATACAAAGTAAGTCGAGCTAAAAGCTGTGAACTATTTTATACAGGAAATATATGAGATAGTCTATACTAAAAAAATTTGCTCACCGAACCGGCAGTATTGTCGGTAGCAACTCACCCCATGGCATACTGAATATTTAAAAGGTGTCTACAATTGTTTGACTGATTGATTATGTTCCATCAAGTCGCTTTTGACTCAGTGACCAAAGGTATCTGTATTTATGCTATAATAGCATATTTCTAAGAATAAAAAAGAGATTTTCCATAATCCAGGATTAGATATCTGAATTTAAAATATGTTCATCTTCTTGGCCCACATCAATGTATCTTCTAGCTATCAAAATAAGAACAAGACCTATATAAATAGTGTATTGTCTGGTTATAATTAGTTGGAGCAATCAACATCATCATAATAGTAATTATATTCCTTAATAGTAGTCCTATAATAACAGTATTTTCTCATCATAATACTTATTGTTAATACTAATTCATATTAATAGTAAACATGTGATAATTCTCTCAAAGTAAAATTAGTTCTTCTCTTATACTTTTAAACATTCTAACTTCTGTTTCTGTTAGTTAGCCATTGATAAAACAAATTCCATATTTCAAAATACTCCGTGTCTTCCTTCTCTTTAATTTCAAGTGTTAGTCTATCCATTTCTGCACATTGTTTATATAGATATTGAAACTGTTGCTTTCTTTATGTAGCAAAAATTTTTAAAAAAATTGAAAAAAGAAGACAATCTGCAATCTCAATAATGCCTTTTTTTAAAAAAAATCCTGCACTGCTCAAGCTTAGTAGCAAAGTAATAAAAACTGGCAGCACTTTTTTTTTACATTAAGGATTATTAATATTTTAAATCTGAAAATGTAAAACCATAAGATAATTCTACTTCATGTTTTGGATATAAGATATAAGCCTGTATTATCCAAACCATTTATCTCAGGAAAAACTCAGAAAAGTTCCGTTTTCTCAATGTGTCACATTATATCACTTTCTTCTGCATACAAAGACAACTAGATTTCCAATAAATTTCCAACTTTTTAATGTATCCCTGAACATCTGACCTCCTAATACAGATCAGTTGACACTAAATTCTTTCCTATCATTGTACAATATGAAACATTATACCCATTTTTTTTCTTTATTTAACCTTTCTTTGACCCTGAAAATGCATTATCTTTATTGGCACAAGTATGTACAGTTGAGAATTTTTGGCAAGACATTTTGGCAAAGATTTGTTGAAAATTGAAGTACAATTACAAATAGATGCTAACACAAGCTTACTGTCCCCCTCAGACTCTAAATATTTCTCACAAGACATGGTTTCACTTTTCTAAACTCATGCATTAGCCAGATATGTCATACTTTACTGTTTATCTGAAAAATTTGATCTTAATAAAAATCTGCCTAGGAGTGAACTCTCTCAGAAGAAACAGACCCTGTTCTTTAAAAATCCAGGAAATTTACATTTAGTATGGATCCATGAAAGGAATCCAAATCAGACTTGACTAGAGATACAGGTTATCCGTAGGTAGCCATAAGATTGCAATTTAAAAAAAAAACTGGCCTTGAGGATGTTAGTATTTCTTTTTTCACTACATCATACCTTGTGTCTCCACTAATTTGGAAAGAAAAGTTGTATCCTCCTGAAGCATACTCTTGTATACTGTTACCATTACTTCACTTCCAATACACACCTCAAAAAAACATGAAAGTGCAGTGACATATGATGCTTGATCAAAGGTAAGGAAATACAACTGATGCTTTTTCACCATGAACAGCCCAGTAAAATCAGAAAGCAGTAATGATGTCCAAAACTAAATGGAATCCTTACAAAGATATAAAAGGAGAAACTTCCATCCCTGCCCCAAGACCCTGAAAAAGGACAAAGCTACATCACAAGTAACATCATTCCAAATCAAATGCAATGGAAAAACATTGCAATCAATTGGGCCAATAAGTTACTGCTTCTTGCAACGCCAAATTACACTTCCCCACAAAAGTGAAAGGCCTATTGTTCCTTGTAGTTAATACTCTGAACATGTACTTGATTTAGGATTTTAATCTGGCTTTCATTCAGGAGCAAAAAACAGGTATGTTCTACTCTTTCCTCTTATTTTTCCCCACATCAAAAAGCCTGTGAGGTAAATCAGGATGAAAGACAGTGACTTCCCCAAATTCTCTTAATGAACTAGAACCAGGTTTCTCTTCTTCCTCGTCCAACACTGTAATCACAACATCACATCTTCCATGATTTGAAAATGGGCTGGTAGATTTGACACAGCACTACATTAAGTTTGTATATCCTTTGAACCCTCAGTCTTCTAGCTAGTGATACTAGGATTCCAGCAATTTTCCCTCTGATTTTAAGCATCAAACATAAAGTAAAATAAATACTTACCACTAAATCCCAGTTATTTTGTTCAAGTAAGGTGATAGCTTCATCAATATTTTCTATTCCAGTACATGCCTAAAATAATAAAGAATGACAAAGTTTCAGCTGAAAAGAATCTGTCAAAAATAATAATTTGTTAAAAATCCTACAAATTAAAAACTGCATTCAGCAGGATCACAACCTCTTGATATCTAGACATCTTTTTTCTCAGAATTTTTTTTTACTTTTTCTCTTACACACTATTTTAAATATACATTCACATAATTGTTATTCTTCTTTACATTTGTCATTCTTATACATTTATTATTTCATTTAATAGGTTATAATATACAATTTGGGTTGCTTTGTTTACCATCCCTTCCTCCTGTTGTAACACCACCTTATTTTCCCTTTCTTTTCTCCCTCCCTCCCTTCTCTACTTCCTTCCTCCTCTCCTTTCCCTTCCTTCTTCCCTTCCCTTTCCCCTACTCCTACTCTTCCCCTTCCTACCCTCTCTCCTTCTCTTCCTCTCCCTTCCATCCTCCTCTCCTTACCTCTTTCTTCTTTCCCCCATCTTCCTTTCATTCTTTTCTATTATTTTTTCTATCATTCCTTTCTTTTCTATTATTGTAGGTGTCTCTTTCAGGTCTCTGTTTATGTTTCCTTGGGATCGTATTACCGCAAACCCAAATATAATTTGATATCATTTCTTATTCCCTTACCTTCGCTAATCTATCCTAACTATATCCCCACCCTTATGTCTCGCTCTTGGATATATACTTAGATATTTAATATTTTCCTTTCTGTTTTATCCTTCTTCCCCCCCCCCCTTTCCATTTAACAGTGCATTGTCTGGGTAGACATCTTAAGACATAAACATAGATTAAATGTAGGAGATTCTATTGTATCAGTTCAGAAAATTTGGACATCAGCTGATAAACCAAGAATTATCAAACTTGTAGTTTATCTTATTAATCCAATGGCTAGCTTTAATAGATTACAGTATTATAGCTATACAATAGTACAGTAATATATAACTCTGCCTATTTGCAAAAGATTGAATAGTCAAGCAATACTCTTGCCATTCCCATTTTATTATGAGCAAAAGATCTCTATCCTGTCATATTCAGCAAGTTCCTTAAGCCAAATATATATTCAGTTAATAGGTATGACTCATCACAGCTTATTCCATAAATATAGCTATAACCATTATACCGAGTGTTAACTTTGTTTGCATGCAAGATGTCCTAAATTCAGCTGTTTTGATATATCCAAATAGAAGGAGGACCATCATATTTTTAACTATTTTCATATCTATATTCTCACACACAATGTGTTCAAGGCAAAGTATAAAAACAATGAAAGAGAAAATAAAAATCATCACAAATAGGAAAGCCATCCTCCTAGATATTTGCATGATGTACAATACAGAAAATGGTATGTTGCTATATTATTTCATGTCAAACTAATTATGAAATAAAATATATGTTTGCATTATTCTGTAAACAGGTAGGTTTTGACTGATGACCACAATGGAGACCTAAATTTCTATTGCTAAACAAAGCAGTTGTTAAGTAGTGCCTGATTTTAGGACCTTTTTGTCATGGTTTTTAAGCAAAGCATTATTAAGTGAATCACAAAGTCATTAAGCCAATTTGCTTCCCCCATTGACTTTGTTTGTTGGAAGCTAGCGGGAAAAGTTGCAAATGGCAATCACATAGCCCTGGGATACTGCAACCATCATAAACATAAGTGCTAGTTATTAATGCCCAAATTTTGATCATGTGACCATGGGAATGCTTCAACAAAGTGTGAGAACCAGTTGTAAGTAACTTTTGAATAATCACTAAAGAAATATCTATGAAGATTCTCTGTCATCCAGCTCATGGTTGTCCTAAAGGTGCTTTTTCTAGAGGTAACTGGACATTCTGGATTTTCTTTGAAGACATTTCACTTCTCATCCAAGAAGCTTCTTCAACTGTGACTGGATGGTGAGGAATGATGGATTTATACTCCTGGCATACAGCTGATCATTTGCATTCTTTTAACGAATCGTTAAGGTCACCTGGAAGTTAAATCTCCAATCTCCAATAAATCCTTTCAACAGTTCCAAGAAGGTTCCACACCCATTTGCACCACTCAGGTGACCCTGATGACAGATAAACCTCCAGGTGACCTTAATGACTCGCTAAAAGACTGCAAATGGTCTGCATATCCTATCCTTTCATTCCTCACCAGTCAGAGCTGAAGAAACTTCCTGGATTAGAAGTGAAACATCTTCAAAGAAAAACCAGAAAGTCCAGTTGCCTCTTGAAAAAGCACCTTTGAGATACTAAGGAACTATTTGTATGTGTATTTTGAATGTGAGTATAACAAAACATGGTTTACTAATCATTGGGACTGAAGCAAATTTGAATAGGAATTTTTTTCATTATCTGCAGCAATCCTAAGGAAACTCTTCAATTTAAAGTAGCCTTTACTTTTTTTAGGAAACTTTTCATTAATTTGTAAAAATAATATCTGCATAGTAAGGGCAAAGGCACATATACCAGTGCATTAAATTTGTTAC